AAACTGGCGCTGCGGCCTGGTCCCGCTGCACCTCTCGCCCGTCTAACCCTCCGTCTTCTGTCCCTCGCAGCTCGGGACGGTGCCCCGTGTGTCTTCGGCGGGATGGTGTACCGGAGCGGCGAGTCCTTCCAGAGCAGCTGCAAGTACCAGTGCACCTGTCTGGATGGGGCGGTGGGCTGCGTGCCCCTCTGCAGCATGGACGTCCGCCTGCCCAGCCCTGACTGCCCCTACCCACGCCGGGTGAAACTCCCTGGAAAGTGCTGTGAGGAGTGGGTCTGCGATGAGGCCAAAGAGCAGACTGCCGTGGGACCTGCTCTCGCTGGTGAGTGGGGAGTCCCTCTGCGGATGGCAGCCTAGGGGGCAGGGGCACCGGCACCTTGCATGAAGGTTGAAGGCAGTGGGATGAGTTGACACAGAGCACCCCAGCAGCTGAAGTGGAGTAGTTAGTGGGGTCACCCCACAGATAAGCACAGCTGCCCAAATTTCTAAGGAAAAGGAAGAGAGAGCCTCTAGTAGGACATGAGTTTAGACAGTAATCTCATACTGGTTATCTGTCTCTTGCAGCTTACCGACTGGAAGATACTTATGGTCCAGACCCAACAATGATGCGCGCCAACTGCCTGGTGCAGACCACTGAATGGAGTGCTTGCTCCAAGACCTGTGGCATGGGCATCTCAACCAGAGTCACCAATGATAATGCCTTCTGCAGACTGGAGAAACAGAGCAGACTGTGCATGGTCAGACCTTGCGAAGCAGACCTGGAGGAGAACATCAAGGTAAATAGTCTAGTATTTATGTATGATCTACTAGAATGCTTCCATCCACTAGCAAAAACCCAGTGTCTTACAAAAAAAAAGTGCAGTTCGGACAGGTAGTCAGTTTCAAGTGGTTTACCTTGAAATATTCGAGTTTTGCTCCAGTGGTGAATAGTTCACTATTAAATGCCCTTAATTTTCTTTTGCACTGTGTAAGACACTCTTGCTGAATTAAATTATAATAAGGATTAGCATCTCTGCTTGCCCTTAGCTTGCAAACACAGTGCTTTGTGAAAGCCTACCTTATAAGCATCTTGTATTCACTTCTATCCTAACAGAAAGGCAAAAAGTGCATTCGCACCCCCAAAATCTCCAAGCCTGTCAAGTTTGAGCTGTCTGGCTGCACCAGCGTGAAGACCTACAGAGCTAAGTTCTGTGGTGTCTGCACTGATGGGCGCTGCTGCACACCCCACAGAACGGCCACCCTCCCCGTGGAGTTCAAGTGCCCTGACGGGGAGATCATGAAAAGGAAAATGATGTTCATCAAGACCTGTGCGTGCCACTACAACTGCCCTGGAGACAATGACATCTTCGAGTCTCTGTACTACAGGAAGATGTACGGAGATATGGCATAAAGCCAGAAGGAGACGCTAACTAGATTCTCAACTTGAACTGATTTGCATCTCATTTTGTAAACATGATTCAATAGCACAAGGTATTTAAATCAGTTTTTGTTTTTTAATTTCAACAAACTGCTCCATGTGACTTAAGACAATTTTTCTACTGACCCCAAATGGTGGTTTGAAGAAGAAGGTAAAACGGACAGTGGGACCACAGCAAGACACAGCTTCAGAACACGCTGTTTGTGAGGTGGTGTGAAGGGCTTATGGGAAATAGGCAGGAAAAGCAGAGTCAAGCAAATGTTCCCTTAATGTGGTACAGCATGCTTCATCTAGTAGTGCAATTGAGAAGGAGACCATTAGCATGTTTGCTGGCACCGGTTTAGTGACAGCAATAGCTGGAAGGCAAACCCTTGCCCAGCAAAGTGCTAAGTAGAAGGTGTTCTGTTAGTCAGGACAGTAACGTTTCAGCTCTTGACGCTCTGATTCATATGGCTTGGTCAACAAGAATCAGAATCATGTCTATTAGACTGGACAGCTTGTGGCAGTTAATTTACCTGTAACAAGCTACTTTTTATTAATATTGTAAATACTGTGTGTGTGTATATATATTTGTACAGTTATCTAAATTAATTTAAAGTTTTGTGCCTTTGTTTAATGCTTTGAAATTTCAATGATAGCCTTCTTTTTTGGAACAAGATAGGTAGGATTTAAAGCTTGTCTGACAATGCATTCAAAGTGTGAAATAGATACTCTAGTGGAAATTGTTCAGATAGGGCCAAATGGGGAGTTGAGATCAAGATGGAGAGTATTAGAGTTCAGGTGCCTGTATCCTTACAAAGCACTCATCTGGCAAAATATGTTTACTTCTACTTTGTTGGACAAGTGGCTTTAAGAAAAATGGCTCTTCTGTAGCTCATCAGTCTTTCCACTCGAGCATTTGTTTCTTTCTTTGACTATGGCTCTTTTTGGATGGTTTATTTGTTGAGAAGTGTGACCAAAAGTTACATGTTTGCACCTTTTTAGTTGAAAATAAAGTATTTATATTTTTTATATAAATGGCTTGGTATTTCATTTACCTTTAGTCTTCACTGTTACTTTACATATTCCTAAAATGGCTTGGCTTTGCACTAGGTGAAAATCAAGCAATGCATGGTAGGGCTTGTTGTCCAGAAGCACATACTCATGAATAAGCTAATGGTTTATGGATACTTCCTCTGTTACCAGTGAACTGGTTAGTGTGGTTTGTTACTCTTCTGAAGTCAGAAAAGGGGGCAGGGCCAGTATTGTATTAGAAAGTGCAGCAGGTTCCTTATGCATCATGTGTGGTGGCTTTAAAATGAGCCAGCTGGTCACTTCAGTATTAAACTCCTGCGATAATACACCATGCAATCTGCTTAATTTCATTTAAGTGTTCCACTGGTTAAGATTTGTTTTCAACTAGGACAAGAAAAATGTTTTTAAAGTATCTGCATTGAATTGGCTCCTGACACTGGAGTAAAATCCAGAAGTCCAAAGTGTGGTAAAATTCTCAGTGAAGAGTTAATGAGTTGTATCAAAATTATCACAGAATTACACAGGTTGGAAGGGGCCTCTTGAGATCTTCTGATTTAACCTTCATGCAGAGTAGGACTAACTTAGATGAGGTTTTACTTATGGTAAGAGAGAGCGCTGAACTCAGATGGCAAATACCTGGGTTATCTTCCTACTTGATGACGGGGGGCAAATCATTTTATGTGACTGTTCTGTCTGAAAGTGCCCATTGATTCAAACTCCTGCAGGCCAACAGATAAGAAGCATTGTAAGAGCTACACATTTTGATAATGGTCCAAAGGTTCTCAGAGAAGCAAAAAAAAAACCAGAATAGGGACAGTTGTGAGTCACATGCCTCATTTCCCTAAAGCTAAAAAGAAAGCTTCAGTCCCGTGCTAGTTCCTACATAAATAACAGACTTATTTTGTCCCTTTATTAAGACGAGGGGATTCTCTGAATTTAAAATTAACCTTTGCACTAGAAGCATTAGGTCTTGTTTTCAGAAAAAATACGTACTCTCCAACAAGAATCCTTTTCAGACAAACAAGTTCAATCTGGAATTTCCTGGTGGTGGTGGAGTGTTAGCTTACAAAAATGTCCATCCTCCCTGAGTACCTTCCAATCCCATTGATTTCAGCCAGCATTAGCGGCAAATCAGTGTAACACCAGCTTTGGCTAATGATGCACAACAGAGCCCTAAACTGATGGGAAGTCAGTGGGAGTCTTGCCAGCGGCCTCACCAGGCTTTGCACAAGGCCGTAAGAAGCATTTCCCCTTCCTCCAAAAAATATGAGGAATTCTCCTGGCATGAGGAAGTGGCTTTTTGTGTCCCGTATGAAATAGTTTCGGGTAGCTTCTGGCTCTTAAGCTCCCTGAGACTCTCCAGCATCTTTTTATCTATTTTTTTTTTTTTAAGTCTTGAATGCAATGCAGCCGTTCAGTTCACCCTGGAAACGCTTCAAACGCTCGTACAACCACAAGGACTGGTTGTCCGACAGCTACTGTGGCTCCACCCCCAAATAATAAGAAAACTGTCATTTCTGGTTCCAGCAAGGACAGGACATACATGGACTTCATTCACAGGTATCGTTGTAGAAGCTCTCAGGATCAGAAGAGGAGAAAGAAGCACAATATCCCTGGCAGGTTGGTATTAGTGCCCTTAAGAGATAGGGTGTTTTTTGTGCTGCTCAAGCACATTCACCTCAGCCTTGCGTTCTTCTACAAATTGATATCAGACATTATAATGAAAGGCCACTCCTTATAACACTGACCTCTTGAACCTCATAATAGGGTCATAAGATTCACCCAGGTTCTGGTCCCGGCCCTCTGTGGCATGGACTGTATCCCAGACCTGTAAGCTGCATAGCACTGCAGCCTTTCCTCGGCACTGTCCATCAGCTGTGCCTGGCATAGGAGTCTGCAGGCAGGGCCAGAGAGTGGCAGGAGTGCTCTAGTTTAGGAAGGGCCATCTGTAATCAGACACTCACAAATGGGCTCCCCCAAAACACAGGGACCCTGGGGACCATGACCTATCCTCTACCTGGTAATGCAATGCTGTGGCTGCTTTGCCTGCTGTCTGACAAATTATCCCACTGCTTCACAGGCCAGGGGAGAAGGATGGAGGAGGCATCCTGTCAGAATATTTTAATGATGGCTTGCTGTTGCTGCTGTGAATTAAAATAAGGAAGTACACTGCATATGTAGATCTCTTTAGCAAGTTGTTGCTCTCCCCTCAGCATATCAAGGATCATAAATCTCACCTATCACTGCATTATAATGATTTGCACTCTTTTTTTTTTCCCCAGAAACTTATGTAGTCTTCTGACAGAAGCATGCATTTTACAGCATTTCTCAGGTGTTAAACCTCTGAAGGTTTCATCCCTGAAGGTAAAGAAATTTAAATACGTTGTTGTGAGGTCTTCTAGAGATGTAGGTAGGCATCATAAAGCTGGTAAGAGTTTCTTTCAAAGGTATCCTGGGAGAAAGGAGCCCTTGTGTGGCATTTGTGGCACCTTAAACGATGGTTAAAATGTGGGACTTTCAACTGTAAAGATGTGTCCTGATTTCATTCTTTGTGCCTAACATGCATAGTTGCAAGAATAAAAATTTCAGTTCAAAAGTCCAAAGTCACTTACATGGGAGAGAACATTGGTTCCCATCCCTTCCAGAATACTTGGGTTTGAAAGTTCGCTTTTGGATGTTTGCATCCTCAGAAAATTCTATTGTGCAGGTTTGCTACTGTACTTTTAAAATATTTTATTCACATATGGAAGTATATTCATTCAAATAACTAGCTTCTTAAAATGGATCTCTAGCAATATTAATAATCCAGTTGGTATCAGACAACTGTAAAGTCAATACTCATTTAATAAATTATACTAAATTAATCATTAAACAGGAATTCAAGATGGCTGGAGACCAGAGCATCAGATAATTTGTGAAATAACTCTAAGCCCTCCTATTTCAGATTTTTGTACCATAACACTTTTGCATGGATTTGCAGCTTAACTTTCTAACACAATACAGATGTGAACAACAGACACGGATTACAGCGCTTTCATATGAAGTAGGCTTTACTATCCAGATGGAAATTTGTCAGATTCCTCAGAGCTAAGAAACATCCAAAAGACACTAGTTAAGAAACTCTTCAAGAATGAGCCACTTCTAATGATCCGTAGCCACACAGGAACAAATAAGTCTTTGAACAGTATCCAGTTGTTTGTCTCACAAAGACAGGGACTCAGCTGAGAAAACTGACTTTTGGACACCACTAGAAATACTCTAACAAGATCATTTGTTTGGTGGGTTGTTTTTTTTTTCATGTAGCATAGCTTTTTCAGACATTGCACTTGAGGAAAGCACCATTACACTGAAAAGGACATTAAGTGTAAGAAGGAACAGTAATATTCTTACCTAAACATATAATAATTCAACCATTCTGACTTTGCATCCTACCACCAAAAACCTAAGTTCTTTAAAAACAGTGCTTAAATGTGGCTTTAACTGATGTTAGACTGTGCCTACATATGGAAGTAGTTAGCAAGGAGAAGTTGGGATGAAATACCAGTGTTAAGGCTTTGCCCAAAACCCAAGAAGAATCCGAGAGAGAGGAAGTAGCTCAGTTAACTTATTTTTCCTCTCATTTTCCACTATTTTTCCCTCCATGCAGTTCCTTTGATTCATGACCATAAATGGACATACCAAAAGCCACCACATTCTCACAGTGTTTTTCAGCCTGCCTGGAACCAGGAAATACCAGGAATTTCTTCAAGGAACCTGTTCCCAAACTGTACTAAAGCCTTTCACACATTTAGCATTTGAACAGAGTTTAGAAGCGTGACTAAGGTCCCATCTTCACCAACCGACCCAGCATTGCTCCTGCACCAGAGGACGTCTCCTTGCTGTCCTTGCTGCTACCACTGACCTCCTCAGCTCTTCTCTGTGCTGGTCCGAGCTCATACCCCCAGAGCAGAAAATGTGGGGCAATTCTGAAAAATCGCCCAGAAAACTCTGGCTGTGTACTGTGGCAGCTTTCCTCAGCTCCTCTCTGTTGCTGGGGCAGTGCCAAGTGCAGGACTATTTACGTTTTCTTAATGGTAAGTAAATCCAACCCTAATAGTAGTATAATAGTGTTTATGCTGTGAGGAACAAAGCATTTTACAGCCTCACGAGCGGGACCAAAAGGTTGCTAACGTGGTTCTGTAGTGTAAACACAATCCAGTGGTGCCTCCATTCATTACCCAGCCCCATTAATTAGGCCACTGAAAGAAATGCACAATCTGAAGAAATGTTTGTTGTTTTAAATTAGTCTTATTAAAAGCAGGTATTCAGCAGCTTTCACCAGCTATGAAATATGTTTTCCTGCTCCTGAGCTAAATGCTCAGAACCAGCTTTTCAGCCAGTTTTCAGGACTTATGTCAGCCCTGCTAATTGACATAACTGCACTCACAATGGTTGAGACCACCTGTGGCCCAAAGTCCTGAGGCTTAGGAAGTCAGAGGAACTGCACAGGGCTGTGTGCCTGGGATGGTTCCCAAGAGGCCACAGGCCGGCTTCTGTGGCATTTGCCTGGCAATAAGCACTTGCAGAAGCACAATTGCACAAGAATTGCCTGGCCCTGTCGGGTCCTGGCTGGCACGGGGCTCCGCTGCTGAGCACTGCCAGGCTCGGAGCCGGGTTCCAGGGATAAGCC